GGCTATCATACGAAACCGAACCATGAATATTCTCTCAAACAATGAAACCACCGTCATCCTATCTGCGGATAAAGGACGCGTGATCCTCATCATAGACATATCGGGCTACGTAAACAAAGCGAAAGTTCTGCCGAACAACACTACCTCATATCGCCACCTGGGGGATGAGCAAACCGAAAGATCACAATCGAATGAGAGACAAAGAATCCAACAACCCACACTTCTACGGACTTCCAAAAGTACACCGCTACGGAAAATTGTGTCGCTTCCAGATCCACCAACATACACCCTCGCAAAATAACTGTGGAGGAAGGTCAAACATCTCATCAGTGGATCACAACATTCAGCCGAAAACAGTAATCAGTGGATGAACCAGAGAACGCGACAACAAAAAAGGGTAAAATGATGGTTTCATCTGATGCCAGCTCACTGTTCACATCAGTTGAACTCCATTCCGCAATGAGCTAAGCTACTGGACAGCCATGCACCTTCCAAAGGATCTCTAAGGGAAGAAGAAATCTGTGAACTACTGAATGTATGTTTGAACACTTACCTCGAATTCAACGGCGGCCACTGCGAACAACTGAGAAGAGCACCCATAGGTTCCCCAATTTTAGGGTTCATCGCCGAGATTTCAGTGCAAAAACTGTGGAAGATCGTATTACCACATATCAACCCAAAACTGTGGGTGTGTTATGTAAACAATAGTTTCGTCGTCATCAAAAAGGCAAGCTACAATGACCAACCCGACTGATAAACAGTGTCTTCCATGACAACGATTTTACGATGGAATAAAAAAACAACAACAATCTGGCGGCTTTCAATGTCCCTGTCACAATATTGCCAAGTGGACAAATGCAAACAGAAATCCACAGACAGGCTACGCATACAGACCAAATTCTGGACTACCGTAGCCACCGTTCAAACTGACACAAAAACAGCCGCACTCGGACGTCATCAAGCGAACAGAAAAGCCGTAACACAGTAGAAGATGAAGAAAAATAAGAAAAACGCCTCTACAATATCTTTCAAAGGAATGGTTGCCCAAAGAAAATTCATTTGACTAAATCCACGACTGAAAGCACAAGCAAAACAGTTACACTAACCTATATCGAAGACAGTTCATAGATGACCACAAGGATACTACAACAGCATGCCATGAGAGCTGCCTACAGACCGACTCACACGCTGCGAAGAGCACCATCGAAACAAGAGGGGATACTTAGTGCAATGAAGAAGACAAATGCAACCCACAAAATTCAATGCAAGGATTGTGAAAAGCATTTTGTGGGACAACCAGGGAGGAGACTGTCGATCAGAATCTATGAACACGAGCTCCCTACTAGGAGATACGACCAGCATTCACTCAACATTGTACGTGAAGACCAGGAAGGACACCAATTCGACTGGGAAAATGTTGGCATACTAGTGTAACGGTGATACTACTGATGAGGGAGGCATGCAAGTAGTATGTTTTCTTGTAACTTCGCTTTCCGTCTCTTGAAAAGTGAGATCTGCTGCGGAATTTGTGGAGTCCATTTGTATCATTTGCTTAGATCTGTGCAACTGCCAATGAATATCCAGGAAAATTCAGATAGACGCGTTCAAAGAGAAGGTGGATTTTCAGTTTTTGTAAACAGGATGCATATGAGGGTTTTGCTTCCAATAGTCCAATAGTCCGTAACTGTTCAGTTAGCGTTTTCTAATAAATAAATGCGCAGCGAAGGCCAACTTTCTTTCACCGGTCAAGCAGTAACAAAGAAAGGGTTCGAATTCATGGGAATGTGGTATTCCGGCGATGGAGTAGTAGAGAGATACATTGAGATCCACCCTGTCTATCGGGTTCTGAGGACAAATAAAATCCAGTACCATAAAATCCTCAGCCGATTAAGGGTTCCAAAAAGCCAACTCATCTTAAACGAAAAGGCGTTCGGGTTAAAATTGCAAATAGACTTGATCGAAATTTTTAGCTCTCGTTAAGGATCACCGGATCTGACTACCAAACGAGCCCGAAATTGCGATTGCTTCACTAAGGGAAGACCTGCAAATCAACTGACAAAGCTCATGAATATAAACCGCAAGTTTGACACGGACTCATCAAGAAGACAGCGGACTACTAAAAATGAAAGCTACACCATCAACCAATTGAACGAAAAATAGTTGGACCAGACCGCAATACAGACCACGAACGGAGCGACCAGAAGAAAGAACAATGAAGGATGGTTTCATCAGTAGCGGGACAATGGAAATCAAGAAGTACAGACTACTACGCAACGCAGATTATGATCGGACCAATCAGTATCTAAGTGTAATGATTATCAAAATCCCATCGGTTTGCAGCTTAAAAGCTGCTCTTTGTAAACTGTATGAAAGCAAGCACAAAAGTGGGACAACTTACCCAATAGCGCACCGAAGACATCGCCTCGAATGACGACGACACATCTGCAAATCAATTGCCAAGCACAGCGAAAAGATCAACAGCTTGTACATTATCTCTGAACTACTCAAGTGGGCTAAAACAGATTGGCTGACGGTTTTATGTGCAGTCTACTCATCTAACAGGCCCATCTTAAAAGGTGTTAAATTATTCCTGTTTAGCGAATTGTAGGTTAGCTGTTACAAGCGAAATTTATCGTATTATATATTGTATTTATATCGTATAGTATATCGTACCGTGTAACAGATGGTTTTAGTGTGAAATACACTGCTCGTCTTAGTTTGACCGGGGATTTTAGGCAGCTTTTTGGCTTTTTTCCTCTCCTAAAGAAAACCTTTCTTGGAAGTCAGAAGTCGCATCCATTGCTCGACAGTTTGGCTGGTTCTCGATTAACTGCTGTTAATTCAGTCACTCGAATTCCCGTGCTGTGTATTCCTAGTGCTCAGTGGACAGGCTGATGATTAAACTTAATGTATATCCAGAAACAAGCATGTTTGTTACATAAACGGGTTTATACCGAATATATTAGAAGGGTTACCATTTAGGATGATGGTCCAGCTGTAATACCCTTTTGGTGCCTAGCTGCCATGCCACCTGAAGGAAGCATGAGAACCGAGCTGGTGCCAGGTTGTCTAAGCCTAGTCAGGAGCAGACAGGATAGAGTGGTCAGGTTCGAAAGTTGGTAACTTAACTGCTGGACCATCTCGAACTCACAATGAAGGCGAACCTCATTCCAAAGGACATTATATTAAAAGCGAAGTGCTCACTGATGAGCAGGCTTTACGAGAAGCCCGTTCTGATTTCATGAGAAATGAATAAGCTTGGTGCTGGTGTCACCATAGACCTGCCCGAGTAGACTTATATTCCTTGGTAATTGAACAGATTGGTGTTGGTCTGTTCACCGAGCTTGGCAATCGATTTATTAGCATTTCGTTACCATTCGAGGAGACATATTCAGTGCGGTCAACCCAACAGTGCACTGAAGATGTCTCCGGGAATTGTGACGAAACGTCCGCAAATCAACCGCCAAGCCCGGCGAACGGATCAACAGCCACCTGATCAATTACCAATCAATGCACCCTAGCTCCAAATATTCCAACACATTACCAGACTTATATTCCACCATAAAGGGGGTTTCTCGTCAAAAACTATTGTAGCTGGTTCCCGTCGTTTGTCATTGCTGCTGATTGTCACTGAGTACACAAACGAAAACCGTTGAATTGCTTTGCTTTTTCATTGCGCTTTCACACCCGCATTTGCATGTTCAGTTTAGTGGGCCTAGGAGATCAGAGTGTTAGGACGGCTTTCCAAAAGAAGCCCGCCTGAAAAATGGAGACTCTTGGTGGTCCTCCTGGTGATAGTAGAATTTCTAACCGGATTCCCAGATGATGTAGTGTTATGCGGGTCGATTGTTTTGCTACCAATGATCCTGATACAAATTCCGCGAATGCTTGCAATAAAAGCTTCCTCTGAGCTAGAATAAGCATTTGTTCTACACTCACATTGACTAGGGAATACAGAGCGTACAAACACTAAATAAAACTGTTGGCTCAGTAAGCATGGATAGCGCATGAGCTGGTGTGTAAACCATATCGAAAAGGCTTGATATAAGTAGCCCAATATCACTTCTGGTTAGTTTGTTGATTTTTTGGCTCATTTGTGAGCTAAAAAGAAATGGCCATACAGCTATATTGGTTACAGTATCTGTTATTACCAGACTTTTCAAAAACTACCTTATCTGCATTCACCCAGTTGAATCGCTACGGTTCACAGTGTGTAATATGTTGGGATGCACTTTTGTACGCCAGTTAAGCATAGTTCACATGAAGATAGCAAAAAGCAAACGCTTATGGAACCCACATAAAAGCAAACGCTTATGGAACCCACATCCCCGGTTTGCAAACAGAACAAGTGCTGTCATGTATGGCGCCGGCCTAGAAAACTAGAACTCCTACAAGAAGTAAATCAGCATCGAAGACATCCTGTTAACCGCCAGACTTCGTTCGTAACTAGAAGTGTATTACGAGTCTGCATTTTCCCACATGCAGATTCTATCATTCAGTGATAGGAGTACTGGAATACATTCTCTGCTTATATGCGTGACCGAACATTCGTTGGGGATTCCGTAATCAATGGTATATTTACATTCCCTAAGATGAGCAGACGCTGGTTACATCCAGGTTTCATTGAGATTCAATTTATTTCTTCTTGCTTTTCATCTAAGCAGTGTGAACCGAATGCTTACTACCGGTTTTGGGATGACTAGGGCTCACCAGGTAGTCGTGGGCTTCGAACTGAACAAAAACTTCGTAATTTCGCCAATCTCATAGTTTATGTTCAAATAGAAGATAGGGTCGAAGGTCAGAAAACCCGGGGAATACACCTACCTGATGAGCTCCAAGACCGGTTTGTCGTTCTTGAGCTGTCGAAACTTTCAGCAACATTATGAGTAGTGTCTTGCATCTATACTTGAGAATTTGCTGTTCAGGTCAGGATTTGATTATTTCAGTTTTCCGGCAAATATGTCTGTCCAATGAACCAGAAACATGAAAAATGGCAATGGATGATCTTCTTACACTATTCGCATTTGGAATGCACTATCCTCATTAAATTTCATATTCTACTATCATATAGTCCACCAGTAGCCGAGGCATCCGCGGTATCAGACAAATTCGAAAATGGCGAGGTCACATTTGGAGCAGTTCCAGCAAAGTACGGCAATAAAGACTTCACCTACGTCCCACTCTTTATGCAATGTCAATGGATGATTTATTTCATGAAGTGAGTGCTTGCGTATCCAATATTTCCTGCTGTTCTCCAAAAACCATGGGGAGTAAAGTGAAGAGTGTTTTATGACCATCACTTTTATGACAATCACTTCACCAGAACTTATGCCAGTGAAACGAAAATTTCGGGTGCAACTTCGCTTATTCAACAAGACCAAAATTAAACCAATGATAGGTCATTCTTGTTAATTTCAGAGTTATCAGTAGTCCGTGGTAATTTGCGAGTTTTGTTATGAATGCGGTCATCCGGAGCAGCTCCGTTACTGGACCCGTGTTGCTCTGTTGGTTCCCTGTAGAAGCAATTACCTGCTCAGACAAACAGATAAATTGCTTGATAGCTAACTTTGAACACTCGCAAAGTGAATTGTGGTTCCTGTAGACTTTTGTATATTCTTCAACTGAAATTTGTGCTTAATGGTTTCACAACCTGTCATTCGGAGTAATATACCATTACCCATAAGGTTGATGGAAACTGTCCTAATGTCGACTACCGGCTAAATTTTGCTGAAAGAAGGTCTCAGTTATATCTAGCCTCGGAATTTATTTCACATTAGTTCTGACTTGAACGCCTGGTCGGATGCGTATGCATATAGCCACGCGTTGCGATTTAAATTGGTTTTCTCGAGACTCAAATGAATTCTTTCTTTTATACTGTACTCCATAAATTAATCAAACCTCAAAAGTACTTAATGAGTCTCGCTAATAAGAAGCCCTACTTGGTTTCATACTGAACGAGTTAGAAGTGACCCACAAGGATGATATGGTCAGCTAAGAAGTTGCGGCCTTTCTTCTCGACCCAATAAGAATAGAAGAGTACGGTAGATTAGTACATCTGGGATAAAGCCAATCGACCCGGGGAATTCATGGCTGCAGAAAACACGCCATCAACAATACGAGTTAGCTCAGTCGATATCCACACACTTCGTCGACAAACCTGAATGAATGGGCGGTCGAAGTTAATTTTGAGTGAGTTTGACTAGAATCGGTCAGACCGTATGGAGGACCCGGCGATTACATAGCCTGGAAAGTTAACCGGATCCCTATGTTTGAGATGCAGTAGAACGGGAAAAGAGTTTTGCCAAGTGGCTAGAGATACATCTAAGTGACCAAGTACATCCATATTTTTGCATCCCAATATAGAAGAATTTCCTCGTGTGGCGTAATTTTCAGTTTCCTAACAACATTAACATAAACATGACTAATTATAATAGCTTCGTTACATTCTGTGAGTCAGTGGAAGTAACGTGTTCAAATGGGAAATCTTCAACATTCATTCCTATTATTGTTTGCTAACAACGCTCAGATGTCCACCGATAGAGGATTTTATTCGTTCTACCTATGTGAGAGCGAACTGAATAATTACACAGGATTTGGAAAGCAATACAAACTCTGGAGCCTAAATTGAGGCACCATTTTGTCTCGGGCTTCAGTTTGATATTAACAGAAAGGTGGAAAATGTGTAGGAAAAAAAGGCAAGCAACCATCCGTGATGAGATTTAGATGAAACTTCGAGGCATTTCCGACCCTATTCTGACATGAATGATGAGTGGTTGTTGTCATCCAAAAAAAGCTACTATCACTTTAATCACAAATTGTTCGCAAACATATTCAGTGGAATCCCCAAATAATGGAAATGAGATATTTGAGGAAGATGTTGTGAGCCCTATATCGTGGCCATAGAACTAGATAATCCTCTCCTCAAAAGACTAATAAACATCGTGTCACCGTTGACAAGTAGCATCAATATTTCAATATATTTCGGAGAAGCCTTTTAACATGAAATTAAGTAGTTGATGGTAGCCTGAGTTGTGCATGTATAGGATAGTGCTCATGGCTACCACAGACTTTCGAATCAATAGAAATCCTCCCGCCTCTTACGCCTGGTTCTTGATTGATGTAAAATCTCTCTGCTTTTTTTTATGTCTGCCTTCTTCTATTTCTGTCAGCGCAACAGTTTAATGTTATCGAGTTTTTGGCTAATCGGTTACTTGACGGTCAGTTGGTTAAGTTCGAATAATTCTCACTTTCCTAAAGCAGTCAGTAACAAGTTCAAAATGAACACACCTGCTCTTGATGTTGTTATTTAGCGTGAACGCAGTGGGAGTGTTTGTACAGAGCTGGGATATTTCAGGGAGACAGGAAATTCCTTAGAACCCGAGGATATCAACAGTTCCGGTCCGTGCAAAACCTGCGCTTTGGCTTCCGGGCTGCTGGTGCCTTAACAGCATCTAACCGGTGGCAGGCATGAAAGTCTCATCTTCTGAGGAAGTTTTAAAACGGGCTATGCGTTGAAGTTGTCCTAGTGCTAGAGCGATTTCAATCCTTTTTATCCTTTCAGTGGAGTAATCAGGGGAATTTTTACAACGCCCTTGGCTTTCGTTTTTATTACCCCAGTAGCCTTTGTAAAATTCTTTGACTGTTGAACTGGTAGAGGCTAACGATAAGTTCTTATTAATAGTCTGTCTGCAGAATGGAGCCATGTCATCCGGACAAGATCCCCGTGGGAGGTCTGTATCATTGCTCAGTTCTCTCAGTAGGATCTCAGACAGATCGTAAATGCTGCGGTAGGTTGGGCACTCCTTTGTAACTGGTTATCAATATAAGGATTTTCAACCATCTGGTCCGGTTCAAATTGTACGCTGCACAATTTAAACAGTGACAACTTATATTTGGAGCTGCCTTCGAATGTTACGTAATTCCCGTCCGGTGGTCGGAGAATACTACTTGTGTACCGGTGTACCACTGGTGAAGAATGTGAGAAGTATATCGTCTGGTGTCCAAGCTTCACCCCCGCATCTGAGGAAAGGGGTGGTTACTACCAAAACTTTGAAACCGCTTTGCAGTTCTCATCAAAGGCTATTTGAACACTGGGGTTTTGAAGACCTTACAGCGTTCGTCTCATTAGTTCGTCGATCACGAATTTTAATAAGAATGGACAAAGTGGGTAACCGTGACGGACAACGGTTTTGTGTACGGGAGGTTACAAGCAGCTTTCCGTATACTCTCACACAGTTGTGTTGCCATCAGTTACTATCGTCTAGTACTGTTTCCTGCTATTGTTTACTGTTGTTTACGAATACCTTTTGCTTGTCAGTCTACACCTCTGTGCGATCCTTGCTGTTATAAACAAGCAGATTTTTCCTTCCGTGCTGTAGTAACCTAAACAAGTCATCCTATTAATTTCCATTTCTCAGTTTATCAGGCCCAGATAAAATGACTCTCCTCAATAGTGGCGCCTGTCCGCCTTTTGCGGTTGAAGTGCCACAGCATGGCCTGGATATCTGTAGAGCGATATTCATAACATTGAACTTGTTCGCGACCAAGAGATGACATTCTTTAGCATTATAACGTTCTTGTAAATGTCTGCTCTAATGAAGAATCTTGCCAAGAAGTGGTGCAAGTTTTGGATGGATTTTCTATCAGATGTTTAATTCTCTCAGTTTTCCGTTTCACACTACAAAATTAGTCAAAAAATAACTTCGAAAACAAGCGATTTGATGCATTTCATTGTTTGGTAAACTCGGTCTACGGTGCTTGAAAGTGAGTCACTTATAGAGAAGCGTGTGATTGGACCCCTCGCAATGTTCCTGGTTTGTTTATACATTCGCCTCTTAAAAACGCAGATGGATCCACTGATTGGATCACTATTGCAACAGAAATGCCTTACGACGCTCAAAAATTCCGGATAATGCACCGGCGCTTCATCTACAGTATAGCTGTGTATGACTAAAAGTCCGACGGCTAATAAAAACTGGTCGTCTGAGAAAAAGTGGTCTCCACAGTCCCGTCACGAGAAATTCACTTTTGAAAGTGCCTTGAGGAAGTTTGGCCTGATGAACTACGGATGTGCTCGCCTGAATGATACGCTGACCTCCTGGTGCTTGATTGCGGATGCTCGTCAACAAAATAAAATCGGAGGTCATACTCTCTATGAACAAAAATTTGAATTTCAGATGACTTTTCTGCCAGTCGTTGCGCAGTGCGAACTGACTTGCATGCAAGCGTGATTGCAGGATTCCTTATTGAACCAAACTCAGGTGCATTGGAACCTCTAAAACCGCATAAGTGGGAAGGCGTGGGTGGGTTGTTCCCAAAGGCGTGATTTCACCTTGTTGGTCAACTAATTAGTCAGACCAATGGCAAGGTGCATGATAAGTCCGCTTTTTATCAAAGTTGTGCCGTTCATTCTCGGCCGTGAGGTGTCGCTCAGACTATTTGATTTGTTGAGCATCTTATCCGTCTCCCCATCCAACGTGGGACTTCTAAAAGCCTCATAATCTGGAAAACCTTTAGAGGAAATAAAGAGTTACACACCGGGGCTTTCAAAGAGTACGAAATCACGTCATACAGAAGTCAACAAATTTGGTGTCTCAGATTGCATGTGCTGGTCACTTTTTCACTGAGATGACTCACTTCGTTTTTATTCCCTGCTTCAACTAGCAGTAAACTCCGATGTGATAAAACGGTGTTGCTCAACATAATCTTTAAAAAGTCGGATCCAACCAATCAACTTAACTTCAGAAAGAAACCTGTCTGTGCGACGCTGAACAGGTCCGCTCAGGTCAGCTTTAACGGCTCACAGATGGGACGCACAGAATATTCCAGCTGAGTTGTCGGGTCACAAAACGGCACGGACCCAACTGCTTAACAACAGGGACAGGAGAGACGTCATGGATGTCTCCAGCAAAACGCCATGTCACACTACTTTTCAATGAAAAGTTCACGTACATGGCGTATGGACGATTGGCACTCCTGAACGTGGATACGGACTTCCGACCTCCCGTCTATCGGACAAATTATCCAATGGGTACATGGAATGGTCCCAACACTTCTGTACAGAAAGAAACCTGTCTGTGCGACGCTGAACAGGTCCGCTCAGGTCAGCTTTAACGGCTCACAGATGGGACGCACAGAATATTCCAGCTGAGTTGTCGGGTCACAAAACGGCACGGACCCAACTGCTTAACAACAGGGACAGGAGAGACGTCATGGATGTCTCCAGCAAAACGCCATGTCACACTACTTTTCAATGAAAAGTTCACGTACATGGCGTATGGACGATTGGCACTCCTGAACGTGGATACGGACTTCCGACCTCCCGTCTATCGGACAAATTATCCAATGGGTACATGGAATGGTCCCAACTGCTTCTTGATGAGAAATTTCGTCACTTAGAAATCAGCTTAGAAGCTTTCAAAACAAAAAACAAATAGGCTTGGATTACAAAATCACCAACGTGTGGGTGTCCTATTCGAGACCTTGTTGGAGCTGGCAAGATGTCGCCGTGTCTCACGATCGGTATGTTTTGGGGCCTATGGGGATTTGGGACTCTCTTCAAGCATACCTGGTCGTTTTCTGCGATCTACCGTGATAATGTTTTCTGGTTTATAAGGTGTTTCCAAAACATAGGTAACATGGGGCCCGATACACAACTGATCTGTGGACACCAATACCAGGCTGTAGTTTTATTATCCACATACTATCTCGCTCTGTAGATTCCATTTCTGCAAATTGTCCCATTCTATTCGCATCTATCAAGAATTCAGTATGGTTCCCAGATTATTGGTGAACGACTTCCGGCAGACGTCGATACCGGGAGTGGATTGACATTTGGTCCAAGAGATGCAGTGCGAAAAATATTCATTCAACTCCCGGGGTCATCTGCCCTCTCTGGAAGAGTGCACGTTGACTGTGAGCAATTACACACTTATCCGGATCTGGTTATTACTCTTCAAAACAAAGAATTCAGGATCCCAACAAAGAATCTTGTCATCTATGTAAGTTTTTTCTAACTGAAATACGAGAAACCTTGTGAACAATTTGCAGCAACCACTTGTTGGGAAAAAACTGATCCAACTATTCTCACGTCCTTCAGGAGATGTACAAAAAGAAGCGGCGCTGTTTGTTTGGTATTCGTTACTACGTGGATGATCCTGAGACGCGTTGGTGCTTGGGTTTGACGGTGCTTCGAAACTTCCTAACGGTGTTTAATAAAACACAAAACTCAATAGCCTTTTCGGAGGCTGTTTGTTAAAATATTTATCTGTCGCCTGAGTCCACAGGCTATGAATATTTTATTTCGCATTATCAATTATTTTCTTTTGAAATATTCTAATTCTGCGGGGTAATTGACATATGATGCATGGACGTAGCCGTATTGAGAGGTTATTCCAATCCCGTTCATCTCGGTAATCACACTGGTGATAAGCGCTAATCAATCAATGCATTCGTGAAGTTCGTAACTGCTACTTCCTTCGGAATCGAATGCAAATTTCACAGATGAATATCTGATTCTCCTCTAATGAAATTTTTACTGATAAATGAATATCATAGGGTTGAACTACGTGTGGTGTTAAGATTGTCTCGATGGTGATTCCCCCTCGCGTAATTGACGGATATTCTTATATCTTAACTTGCCGGTTGACCGAACTTTCGTCCGTTTCCGGCTCTTCGTTAACCGCATCAATTGCTACTCTACTTAGTGCCCCTTTTGAAGTCTGTTCTAAATGGTCACTGTTGGCTACTGTCAAGCAATACTATCAGAGATTCACAGTGTGGACCATATCGTAGCCCATGAGATATCTGACTATAGAACGCTCAGGTCAAAAAAACATACTGATAGGATTTTACCTGACGACGTCGAATTATTGTCCCCCGCTGTACGTACGGAAACTGAGAATGGGATGGAATCTACGACAGTATCTGCTTGAGTCACAAAATGCAGCTATTTACCGGTGCCAAGTGAAACCCATAGTTACTTTGAACATTGTATCAGAATTTACCGTCCAACACGATGTATGTTGGATTAGTGATTCAAACAATACGGAGTTTTGGTTTGGTTTGACATTCTTCGTCTTTTAAGAAAAATGAGTTGTCCAGTGCAAGTACCTCATAAATATCAAACGTGTTCCTACAGAAATGTTCGAGATTTTATTGTATTGAAGGTGAATTTTTTACGTCTGCGCGGGAGAAACCTAGGAAAAATGCCGGAACATTGAAGGACGTGTTCAAGTGAAATCTCCATTGATTCGGAAAAACATTCAAATGCCTAGTTTGCTCACATCCTTCCTCGACACCCCAGTCATACAAGATACTGATGAGTTCATCTTGTGCGCCATCTTGAATGAGGGAGATCCAAGTGCCTTTATATCAAAGAAAGCCAGTTCAGATCTTGGAATTTCATCTCCGAATTAAAACTCCGCAGACGTTGATATCCGTACTTCACTTTTGTGTAAACTGGAAAATCATCGGTGAAATACTCGGAGGTTTTACCCACTCAGTCAAACTACGAAAGACAAAACCGATCGCGGGCCGCCAAAGGGTTTTCAGCAAATCATGAGCAGTATGTCCCTTCAAGGAGAAAACCCTTCAATGAAGGAAACTACTCACAAGTTTCTGGAAACTCTTCGATAGCCCACGACCGTTTTCGCCCTTCTTGGGGCTCATCAGGTAGGCGCAGTCCCCGAGTTTCCGTTAACCTTTCTATCATGAAAATATACCGCGATATCTCGAATATCGTGCCAAACGAAACATAAAGCGGCCTGTGTGCGGACATCCAGTTGTAGAACATCATAAACGAGAGATTCAGTTGAGTCTCCTGTAAAAACCAAATTCATTTGCAAATGAGTGTATTTTTCGAAAACCCTTCAATAACATTCAATTTAAAGACAGCTAAGTGTATCGGTGTAACACTAAGGTGGACAGAGTCGTGTTGATTGTTTTTAGTTTTACAGTTCCGAACAAGTTTTAGTTGCCCTTTCCGCTGAACGGGTATTAGTGGTGTTTAGGTCCGAAATGGTCTCAATAGGGCTAAACAACACCACACCGCAGCCGAAGAATTGCCAGGCAATGAAAGCCACTACAACTTATTGGCCTACAATGATCGTAATATTCACTTCATCTCTGCAACGACGATGAGTGATTAGAGGTCTGACCAACAATCATGTGGTCCTCCAGGTTGGGGGTCGGAATAGGTGTGACAAACAGATATGTTGCTTGAAACTTTCCGCACTGCAATGGTATGCCGGCACCCCGTCCGTTGCGATTGTGCCACGTTTTTGAGCCGAAGGCCCTGGCATTGAATGGTTATCATTCACCTACCTAGATCGCTTTCTTATCGCATACATCAGGGCGGGTAAGCGAGAGCATTTTGCTTGCGACACCTTATAAAAATTCGCCGGATTCCTGCTTCGACCGTGTTACAGTCCATTTTGAATACTGTCGCCGTTGGTCACAGAATGAGAAACAGCCACTCTTCTCCCCATGTATCATGCTCATAGGTAGATCCTGGGCCTCTCAACTAAGCAGCAACCCTAAACACTTCGAACTCGGTTTCTAAACCTCGAGCCGGTTAATATGGCTGATGCTAACATATCGGAGAAAACACAAGGACAGGCGGCCTTTGCTCGCTTGCTGGATTTTCTAAGCAATTATGTATGCTGCCAATCGGAAACAAGGATCCAGGACACAAGTAATGCAATTTCACTGACCACATAAATTCTGAACTTGTCTTGTCAGTTCAATGCAGATGCGGTTTTTACAATATCCGGAGTTCAATATTACAACGTGAGTGCTGTATTGTGCACGGCTACCTATGATTAGACAGGCAGCTAACCAAATGCATAAGTCATGTGAATAAAAATTACCCAAATCCAGAGAGTTCAGATGAACTCAAAGATAGCAGGCACAGTATGTAACGCACTGGCATAATTCAGAACTGATTACTGCTTCGGAGGACTCAACTTTAATTCTGGTCAGGAGCGTTGGCCCCAACGAGTCATCGATCAGTCTAAAAGAGCCGTCATACTGCTCTTCAGACCTGATCTCAATTGTCGTTGATTTCATATTTAAAGTCTAAAAGACATACTGCTCTTCAGACCTGATCTCAATTGTCGTTGATTTCATATTTAAAAGTGTGATCTTATCAAGTGACTGATCAACTCAACTATCCGTTTTCGGCAATGAAGTAATAGTTGAACCCTTTCCATGACATCTCGCATCAATCCACACCTGATTACGCCAGCAGCAAATCAATAACACCCTCCATTTTCATTACGTAATTTGTGTGCATTAAGCTGTCAGACTGGCTTCCAAAATGTGCTGCTTTCTTCGAGTGCTATTAAAGTGGAATCACTCCCCGTGTCAGAAGCTATGAACAGCAAATGTGGCAGTGTACATACCCGTGCCTTCATAACATACAATCAGTTACGATAAAAAGATCTAACCAACCTCTATATCTCGCTGAACGTAAAGTTTAAAGGATTGACGGAACCCCGAATCCGTTCCGTTTGAGACGTAGCACTGTCAGTTGCAAAAGCGAGCGGTTGCATTCTTCGAAAAGTTCGCATACCTTGTTATTAGCACTGCCATGAGAACGGCTCGGAGAATTTCGATCGATCGATTTTTTTATCATTCTGATCGAATTTGATTTAGATTCATTTAAGGCTGGTTCAGTGCATTTCTTTCTGAGCAAATTGATTGCAATATCGACAAAATTGCTAACGATACAAATTAGAAAAGTGGAATAACTCTGGAAAATTGGTCAAAATTTGTGGGAAACAGTCACTGGATAAACTGGTACGAGCAAACCAAGAAACTACACTTGGCCTGTTTTTCGGATGGCCTCACTTTGGTGAATGTTGAGTTCGCCAAGCAATACACAAGATTCCAACTCAAAAAATGCATTGAATTTTATCAAAGGCAAAACTCCTGAGATGCATCAGTTTTCCATTTTGTAACACACTCCAGATTATTTGATCCCTCCACCTAGGCTGCTGTAAAACTGATGGTCGGGCTTGCGATACATCGTGGTAGACTTCCGTCATCATTCGGCTGCTTTTGCCTGGCTACCAGCGAGACAACCAATCAAACAAATCACATGCATCCGACGTGCCCGCCTCGCATATCAGATGTCGGGAGCTTAAGCTTCTAGCGGACTAGGGCCTTATCAGCGTGTTCGGATAAATTAACAAGCAAAGTAACCAATACAAAATGGAAAAATCACAATAGGAAAGGAATGTGTAGATCCAATAGTCCACTACACCAATCCAAGTGCAGTAACTGGCTGTGAAAGGAAATATTCACTTGTCGCAATTTCCCACAGATGGTTCCGCGTGCGTGATGTTTTCCACGGTAGGAAGATTATTCACGGCTAAAAAATGTCACAGGGATTTACTGTGACGTTCAACAGTTGACACAAACACAGAGATTTAGTCCCACTGGTTCAGCAGTCAACAAACAGTTCAACGGAGCGTAAATA